AGGCACTGCTCCAAGTACTTCCTCTGTATTAACATATTTAATATTTAAACTGGCTGTATGAAACTGAAGTTTCCTCATCTAATATCTCAAATCTGCAGATGAGGAAACTGAGACGTCAGTAATTTCTCAAGGTCACACAGCTGGTGAGAGGCAGAGCCACTTACTATGCCCTTGGTGCCTGGCGCAGAAAATGGCACCCCCGTGCTTCACAAGTCTTCAGCTTCATTTCCCCCTAACATCGTAATAGCCAGCTAAGAGGGGGAAAGTTCTGGTTCACATTTGAGGAGGAAGCGATTCAGAAGGAAGAAATGGTTACATGTATCCCCTGATAAAAGCAGATCACTTCCCTGGGCACCACGGGGAATTGTGGACTGTGTGGCTTGGACAAGGGGAGGAAATGCATCCATAAGGCTGAGGATTTCAGTTCTACCAGCTCCTTGACTCCGCTTGTGGCTCTCCTGTGCATCAAGAGAGGTGTCATTCAAAAGGTCCCCAGTGGCTACAAGTCTTATGGAAAGCTCATGTTGAAATGTTGAAAAATCTGATGCAAAAATGGCACGCACAGCCCCTCCGACCAAGGTGCTGACACCCAGAACTTAGGCGGTGGCTTCTGTTTGGTGTAGGTACAGGCAGAGCCTGACCACGAAGCCCCCACCGATAACTTCTCAGAAGGGGAGCGACAGCTCCAGGAGCCACCTTGGACTTGGATGTGTACTCCCAATTCTGACCTCTGCAGTGGTATTTCTTCTATCCCTCTACCCTCCCCTCCCCATGTCCCTTCCTATGCACACCATTAAATGCTTTGTCTCCATTCACAAAAGTTCACATTAATTTTGGCCGGCCTTTGGAAAGGGCTCACCTACTTCCAGGAGCAAATTTCTCAAAGTTTGTAACTCATTACAAAATAGCAGTCCTTCTGGCTAACATTTGAATTGATTGGTTAGGCAGGTCCTTGACCAAGGCATTAGGGACTGTGGGAAGCAAAACACTGCATTTAATTCTCACAACCCCATGAGGGAAATATTGTTGAGGCCCATTTTATATCTGAAAAGTGAGGCATGAAACAATTAAGAAATTTGCCCAAGGATACAACTAGTAAGTGGTAGTCAGAATCGGAACCCAGGTCTGATTGGACCATTATGCAGCCTCCCTTAAAAGAAAGGATACCATTCAGATTTCAGTGGCGATAAACAGATGTTTCACTAAGCCCTCCTCTGGCCACAGAAATGATGAAACTGAGGAGAGGACTAGAGTCAAAAGAGCTGTGGGACAAGTTCATGGTAGACTAAAGCACTAAACTCTTAGCAGTGCCAACGATAAAGCATGGACACCAGTTGCTTTGGACTTGGCCATGTCTCAAACTCTCTGAGCCCACTGTGGAATTCAAGAATTCTGGTCAAAGCTCTCAGGCAGGTCAGCCTTGCTTTTTTTTTTTTTTTTTTCGTTTTTTTTTTTTTTTTTTTTTTTTTTTGAGCTTTTGTTTATTTGGCTGGAAATGTGCAAAAAGTAAGCAAGCCAAACTCATCATTATATAAACTCAGAAAAGCTTGGAGATAGTCTGAGGAGCCCAGGATGAGAATCAAAGTCGTGGCATCTGCATGCTGCTGTGAGCTCCCACTGCCCGCCAACATTCCTTGTTTCTAAGATAACGGCGGAGCTGGATGGAGGCTGGGGAGCCTGGGGCTGGCTCTTCTGGGAAGATTTTCTGCTCACCGGGCGGAGTCGGGCCTCCTGCCTGGGGCTCCCATTGTTGCCCTTGGCACATTGGTTTGTCTCTTTCCACAGCTGTAGCGGTCTCCACCTGGGGATATGGGCTTCCCAAGGGCAGGGCAAGCCTCTCCCCCAGTGCCCGGCACCCGGCCAGACCCCTAAGGGCAGCTCCACACTGTGAGTTGGGGCCTGAGCCCAGACTGCAGAAACACAAGACAAAGGCAGGCTCAACAGGCAGCCTGGCAACCACAGGAGAGCCCCAGATACCCTCCAGGCCTGGCAAGGCAGCTGTTAAGACCTGGCTCTGTGGACAGATACCAGAGCCAATCCTAGCAGCCCCCTCCTTGGGACCCAGCACTCTGACCTGGTCAGACTCACAGCCTGAGAGAGCTGGGCACAGATTCTTGCCAAGGAAAGCTGCTGCCATGTCTAAGCAGGTGCTCTGGCTCTGTTGGAAAGGAGACTTCATAGAGGATGGTGGGAAGCGGCGGGAGGGGAAGTGGATCCAGTGACAGCAGAGCCTCTTGAATAGCTCCAGAACCAGCCTTGGGATTTGGGAAAGGGAAACAGGTTGTACAGATGGACTGGGAAGTCCAGTTGTTGCCAGGTGAGTTTGGTGTAGGATAAACGAACAAGTCCATGTGAAAAGAGCCACAATAAAGAGCCCTTAGTACCAGATTGTATGGGAGCTAAGGACAGGGGCCAAAGTCAGCACACAGATGTCATGGAGTGCTTCCCAGGGCAGGCACCTCTAATATTTTTGAAGCCTGCCAGGGGGTCCAAGGGTGGACAAGGGAGGGGAAGGGCAGTCCAGCAAAGGCACATGAATAAGCTAAGCCAATGAGTAGATGGCTATGTGGAGGTGGGGCGTGTGGGGATGCGGGAACCAACAACCAAAGCTCCTGCCAATGAATACCCACGTGGGAACCTGCTGCCTGGAGGCAGTTTGGAGGACCAGGAAGGCCAGTCATACTACACTCCACCCCTGGAGTACAGGCCTCCTCTTGGCCACAGAGATGTAGGATCAAGGATGCTTCTTCCTCTCAAACAGCCACACTAATCCAGCCACCGGGAAGGTTTCCGGTTCAGTAGCCTCTGGCAGGCAAGGCATGACCCTGAGGAGGTCGGAGCATGGAGCAGGGGCAGGATCAGGGAACCAGGCTGCTGCCCTCACCCCCACCCCGGGCCTTGGGCTCCTCCAGAGCAGGGCCGTTAACAATATTTTAAATTACAATTCAGCACACCGGCCTGAAGTGTTTCCCAAACAAAACCTTTGCTAGAGGTACTAATTTTTTTTTTAATGGTTGTCTCGACCCACAAGATAGCTTTTGTGACCCACAAGTGAGTTATGCCTACAGTTCAGAACCACTGTTCTGAAAAGTGATCTGTCGCAGTCCTTTTCCCCCCACAGTCGGCGGGCAGGTGGGAGAACCAACCCCATTTCCCTGAAAGAAACCTGAAGCCTAGACGCCACGCCCGCTGGTGGGCCCCCTGGAGCTGGTCGCAGCCCAGGAGGGGGTTGCCCTTGGGCCTCCAAGTGAGGCTAATCCCACAGGGTCTCCGGAGGGTGGGTGGGTCTCACAGTGCCCTGTTCAAATCCTGTCTGTGCTAATTATTTGCCGTGTAACCTTAGATAATGAACTTAACCTCTGAGTCTCAGGGTCCTAGTTTGCAATCAGAAAATTAGTGGTCCCTCCTTCACAGAGTTGCCCCAAGGATTCAGGATTGTGTCCTTAATGTCTCCAACACAGCTCGGGAATATTTGCGGAAAAGACAGAACAGGGTGAGAGACGGCGCAGGGACCGCGCGTCCCTGAATTTCCGGGTTGAGCAGTGCCCGTGGTTCCAACGCCATTCGTGAGGCCTTGTGACTGCACGCGCCGGGTCCCCAGCCCTGCGCCCGCGACATGCAGGGGCCAGTCCCACTCCTCCCTGCAGCTCTGGCTCGACCCCGGCGCTTGACGCACCGCCTCCACCGCCAGCTTCAAGCCAGGCGACGTCGCCGTTAGCTCCTAGGGTCTGTCCCTCTGCCCCCGCCCCCGCTTTGTGTTCCTCGAGGGCAGAGTCAGGGTGTCTTCATCCCGGCCTCTGGCGCTGAGCAAAACGTCTTGCGGTAAATTCCCCTCGAACCCAGACCCTGGACTTCAGGGTGCGGCCACGCTGTGACTATCTGAGCCGGTGCCCGCTGCACGCTGCACGTCCCCGAGGCGGGCAGGGTAGCCGGACCCATCCCCGCCTCCACGAAAATGAAGGAGGGCAGAGCCGCGACCCGCAGGACCGCCCCGCCACTGTCGCGACTTGCAGGCGACATCCTCGTCGGAGCTGTCACCTTTCTCGAGGAGGACAAAGGCGGGTGGGTGCTGGGCAGTTGTTCCATGCACAGTCGCCTCTTGTTCGCTGGCCCGCGACAGACCTCGGCCCCCCCTCCCTGGGTATCCAGCGCGGGCACCCTCTACCAAGGAGACGCGCTCTCGTCTGGCACCAGCCAGTCCGCTATGGCGAAGAGAACTGCCCCGTCCCCAGCAAGTCAAAACAGGCGTTGGTGGCTTCTGAACTTGCCCCTGCTGTCACCCTAACGATGGTGACTTATCTGAGGCCAAAATTAGTGTCACCTTCTGTTCCGTGTAGTCCCAATATCATGTGCCTCTGGGAAGCCTGGACAGAGTACCATTAAACCGCCGCGGGGTTGGGGGGGTGGTATAGGTGAGACACAGGTACGAGACACATCTTTGCACATGCTGTTCATTTTCTGAGCCTGAACGTCCTTTCCGTTCCCCTTCCAGTAAGTTCCCACTCATTTCACAAAACCCTGCTGTGAGCACACCTCTTCCCAAGCCGCCTTCCCTCAGCTGATCCCTGACGGCTCATACCAGAGCTGCGCCAGCTGCCAGCTTCTCTTGCTGCACACACCTAGTCATGTGGTAATGGTTGAGCGTCTCCCCTAGAATGGCCACTTGAGGTAGAGCCTTCTCTCTCACCTCCCTGAGCTCCTGCCTGACACGTGGCCTGGCTCCTAGTTCTAAGCAGGAGGGGTCTGATGGTCCTGTGGGTGACACAGGGCTGGACCTCAGGCAACAGAGATGGGGACAGGTAAGAGGATATCTGAGGGAACCGAAGTGTCTCCCACTCACAGAAGTGAAAACACGGCATCATTTTACCTCAGGAAGGAGCGTCTTCTGCCTCCTTGGAATTAGAGCAAAGCAGGTTTACTTCACACACAGTCCAGAGTACCTTCCCTCCCACCCTCTTTCTCCCCTTAACCCTCTTCCCCCCTCCCCCACCATCCCCTCTTCATGCCCTTCTAGCCAGGCTTCCCCCCGACACCCTGCATTGTGTGGAGGCCCTAGTAGAAAGAGTAGGTCCTGAGTAGGTCCTGAGTGACAGGAGCAGGTCAGAATGCCATTATTGTTGCTGAACTTGGTTCTCTACTGGTACAAATGAAGCTAATAAACATGATATGCCTGGTAGGACTACTTTAAGGACTAAATAAAAACACTTCAAGAGCCTGACCTTGTACCTGGAAGGTAATAAATGCAGATGCTTAGAGACCTTCCCGTTCCGTCCTAGTCTGAGCAACTCCATTTCCATTCCTTCCCAGCTGAGGCTGCAAGGGTACCTAGTCCTCACTATACTGAGAAAACAGAGGTGCCTTTTACCCCTAGAAGCTCTTTTAACATAAATTTCCCTAAAGTTTCAAGACCCCTGTCAACAAATTTGCTGCCACCAACCTAACGTTAGCAAGACTACACAGACAAACTTAATACAAATGAACAGTTGCAAACCACCGAAACAGCCTCCCACTGACACACAAAGTGGGCCCAGCTGAGGAAAAAAATATCAGGAGTCCACCTTTTATAGAAAAAGGTCCCCACCCTAGTCTCTGATTGGTCTATTTCTATGTAAATGAGGAATCCAAGTTTGCACAGTCTGATTGGTCCAAATAGCACTGTCCCGATTGGTCAGAATTGCACGTTCTGATTGGTCATTATGGAACTGTTCTGATTAGTCAGTAAGTATGCAAATTAGACTACAGCTGTGCCATTCCCATTGAATGGGGCAGGTCTCTGCCCATTGGTTGATACAGGATTCCAGGAATCTGTTTATAAGGTTTACTTCACACACAGTCCAGAGTGCCTTCCCTCCCTGAAGGAACATACTGCAGGAGTCTCGGCACCTTAGCCTTCAGCTTTTCCCTGATATGTAGAGTGCAGGAGAGGCCTATAAACAATAGCTGCTAGCCTCTGATTGTGAATTTGGGCCTTGTGAACCACAAAATCTTTTTTCAAGGTATACTTCTTATTGGGTCAACACCTCAAGGTCAGGAATTAGGAGTAGTAGTCACCAGTGGTTCCCTATGCCTGTAGTTTGCTGCTGTGGGGCTCTTTCTGTGCTTCAGGAACCCTAGGTTGGTCTGTGAGATATCCCAGAACCCTCTTCACACCCTGAAGGCCTGAGTACTTATTTCCTTGGCCCACTGCTCACCTCCTAGAGCCTCCCATTCTTCTTTATCCCCCATCCCAGGTTGGCTCAGCCTTCCCATCCTGCCCCTGCCGTGCGCCTCATCTACTAGCCTCCACTGGCAGTAAAGAGGGGTTTTAATTGGCTCCTGCAGACAAGACCCTAAAATGAGAGAACACACACTCCACAGGATAGCCGTCCCCTCTCCATTGCCCTTCCCTCGGGCCACATGTCTCCTTCAGTAACTTTGACCCTGAAAGCTGCAGCAACACTCATTTTAACCTGATTCTGAAGGCTGTGTTTGTTTTTTTAACCACAGCCTGCACCCAGCCAAGCTCTAAAACAGACTTGAGCTGCCCACTTCACCTGCCAGTTGCACCTACTCAAGGCCCCTTAGCTTCAGTCTCCTGCTCATAAATGCACCTTGCCCAGGGCTCCTCTCCCAGCCCGATTACTAACTCTGGAGGCTACTACATTGACCCTGGCTGTCCTGGGTGCCTCCTCAGCCTTCCCCTCTGGCATGTCCAACACAGCCCACTGCTGTGCCTTTGTCCTCCCTCCTCCTACCCCACCCTAGGACCCACAGCTAGTGAAGGTCAAGTGAGCATCCAGCCCAGAATATAATAACTCAGGATTGGAGAAGATTCAGCTTCATCTTTGCTTTTTAATAATTTAAGACTGACACACAGCCATCCACTTCCAGAGAGTCCTAACCTTTTGGGCAGTGTTCAGGCCTAGAGAGGGAAAGCAGCCAGGTGGGACAGCCCATCCCCTCAGCCTGTACCCTGCCATCTCCCTGCTGGCCAGCCCACCCACAGGTGCCATCGGGGAGTCTGAATAGAGAGCTTGTAGCTGGAGACAGCCTGACATCAGCTGTAGCCCAGTGTCCCAGCTCAACAGAAAAGGGAAGACATGCCTTCATGGCCAGGCTCTGGTAGCTCCAGCCTTGTTCTGGGTAGAGGCAGAGGGCAGAGCAATGGGGACAAGCCTGGCCTGGCTAATCTCACTGGCCACACCTACACTTTCCTGAAATTGGTTTCATTTTTTCCCTCAACCTTCTATATCCCATAAATTCTTAATATTCTGGCTACCAAATAATATCTCCTAGATGTTCTCATACCAGATCACATGTTCCAATTTTTGGTTTGGAATATGTGGTCAATGGCTGTAAGGCTGTTATTATAAGACACTTCACTCATTTCTGAAAAGAGAGCAAAAGTGTCAAATAGGAGCTGGGAGAAATGAGACTGAAAAAGGCAGACTCCAAGCCAGTGTGGCCCAGCACTTTCTTTGGTTCTGGATGGAGTACAGAAAGTTGCAGGAGGCCTTGACAAGGAGTGGAATGGGATGTGGGGGTGAGGCGACTGAGGCTCAGGGACCATCAGAGAGACCCGCTGAATCTCTCTCCTCTCCCTGCCAACAAAGGTGCAGGAAGCTGTTGACACCATCTCGGGCAGGGACACCCATATTTTTTCCCCTAGTTCTGCATAAATTAATATCCTTAAACAAAACACACAGACTCCTTTCTTCTCCCTAGGCCACAGCTGGGTCACAGCCCAGAGTATTACTTGCCACCTAGCTCTTACAAGCAGCTTTGTGCAGTGCATTCTCAATCATCCCTCCTGGGGTGGTTCATGGCTTTCCAGGGGGTGACAGTGAAAGCCAAAGCACCTCTGAGTCACCGTGGGACAGGCCTCTGCCTCAGCACACGGAGTGATAAGCTCTCTTCGTGGGCCAGGAGCTCCTTAACATGAGCCAAGCCCAGCCCAGCAACCTTGGCTCCGTTCACCTCGAGGATCTCATCCCCCACCCCCAGCAGCCCTGAGTATAGCTTGGCTGTGCTCGCGTCAGCCATCTCCTGCACGTAGAACCCTGCAAAGGAAAACAGGAGAATTTAACAAATAAAATTAAAGACATGCATCTCTGGCACGCTGACCAGGTAGGTGAGGCACACGGACACTTCTACACACACGCGCACGCGTGCACGCACACACACACGCGCACACACACACATACACACACACACACTCACTCTCATTCTCCCTGACAGTCACGGCTATCTTTATACACATAGTGCTCTCATCTCCATAGTATAACTACATTGCTTCACCTCTTCTTTTAAAATGCCCCTAGTGCAAACAGTGCTTTCAGCTGTTATTATTCATAAATATCCCAGTGTGAATAAGCTAATCTTAACTTTTTCTAAGACATACTTTGATTGTAGAAGCAGGAGGAAAATAATGTTTAAAAATTAAGAAAAAATCTATGATGTGCCTGGCACTGTGCTAGGTGACACTCACAAACAAGATCCATTTCTGCTCTCAAGTTGCTGGAGTCGGGGAAGGTACCGTTGGAGCAGCTGAGATCCGGTCCAAACCTGGTTTGCTTCACGGTATTGTGTAGGATGAGCCCTGGCCTCAGTCTTCCTTGGATATGGTTCCTCACTTGAGACTTGTTGGCCTCTGGGCAAAAGCCCAGGAAACATCAAAAGCCTACTCCATATATAAGCCACGGTGCCTTACTTTTTCCTTTCTCACATATGCCTTCTCTCCGCCATCCTCCCCTCCCCCACCCCAAAAGGCCCTGCCTGACTGGTATGACCATGCCAGGGTCTCTACAGTGCAGGGTGAACCTGGGGAGAACCCACTTCTCCTCCTTTCTTGGGTTCAACTCTGGGAACCCACGTTGATGGAACAGGCTCTGTAGGGACTCAGGGCTGGGCTGTTCCAGTTCCCCTGGCCTCTCCTGGGTCACAGTGCAGGAGAGTCCAGCTAAGGGAGCCCCTGTCACCTCAACTTCTGCTGAAAACCTTTCAAACTCCTTCAGCTGCTTCCACCTAAGAGTTTAAAGGAGGAACAAGCTCTTCCAGGGAAAGCTTCCAGCCCCTAGCCTCGCACTGAGTGAACAGAGGTGTCTGATAGTTAGCACCAGCCCACTTGGCTGGAGGACTGCAAGGGATGGCCCTTGTGCAGCTGACAACACCTACAGAATTCACTGGGGCGGCTTAGTGCCACCTTAACACCCTCCCTGCTCCCCAGCCCAGGCTCAGCTGGCTGGCTCCCTCCACATTAAGCAACTGCCCATGCGTTATGTCCACCTTCTTTTCCTGGAACCGACTTCCTTAGAAGGGACCTGGAAGGGCATATCATCTAGTTCCTCAATCTCTGGCTTGAAGCTGTTTAACAAATCTTGAACTACTGAGAAGTCATCTCTCTAGTCTACCCAGCTCTGTAGGTGCTTCATTCAGCCCAGCTTCTCGCCCCAAAAGAAGTCAGGCTTTTCAGAGCTCGCCCTCTGAAAATCTGGTTTGAAAGTGCATTGAAATCTCCTCCACGGTACCCGAACATTTGTAGCTCTGGGTCTAGTGAATCCAATCTTCTGACACATTCCCTGTACCGGTATGAGTTGTAGAACTCCTTTTCTGTGCTTCTTGGCGAAGCTGAGCCTTTCTTGCAAGGCTGTATCCCTCCCAACAAGGTATACCTGCCATCTTGGCTGCGCAGATTTTTACCTCTTCTGTCTGGGTGTTTGAACTGCTTGCCTGCCTGTCTGCATGTTGGCGACATGGGGGAAAGGACAAGTAAGGTGGAGCCTGCAAAAATGGCTACTGTACAGCAGGACATGCAGGTGGGGAGTGATGAGAAAACCCAAAAGAATGCAGCCAGAGCTAGACCAGACACTGAAGTCATACCAGCCATTTTGGGGAGACTCTGGGGTGGGTTTCACAACTAGAAGTCATGACAGAAATATGACAGGCTGCTATTGTATGTATTTATTGTCTGCTGGAAATGGCCTTTGTTAAGAACATATGATCTCTGTGTTGTACTCAATTAGAAGAAGAAGGCAAAGCTTGCTGTTCTCCCATGCTTATACAGAATTGGATGTTATAGCCATCAAGTTAAAACCAGCATCTTGACATTTCAGCTAGCTCACAGCCCCTCTGAGGCCCAGGAGAAGTGACTCTGGGCTGCTGGAGGAATGCCTGCAGCCAGTAGACACCAGCACCAGCCATATTCTGCATGCATGAGGATCTCTATGTGACATCCAATGACCAGCTGCAGAAGCAAGGGCAGGACACCACCTGGGCAGGACAAGGAAGAGCTCTCACCAACCTAGGTGAGTGGCCCCCAAGGAGCAGACTAGGGCAGAGCCCAAGGAGCCCTTGGTAATTACAGACAGTCCCCCACTATGCATCAGAACTGCATGACAGGCAATGGGGAGGGACTCCCACTGCTTGCAAAGGGGCCTAAAGGGACTTTTGGGGAGGATGGGGGGACAGAGAACATGTTGTATGTGATCTCACATTGATAAATGATGTAGATCGTGCTGGTCTCCATCTGGAGTTTTGCTCCCCAAATATACTCTCTTTCTGAAGAGGGAAGGGAAGAAAAGTGCCAGGCTCAGAGAGGCTAAGTAACGTACGTGCTCAAGGTCACACAGCCAGTGGAGGTGCTGGAGTATAAACCATGCTATGTTATCTAACTCTATGCCTTCATGCTGCCTTTTTTGAGGGCCTATTCCCCTCACCTAAGGAGAGAGGAAACTAAAGGAAAAGGCAGGTGGCTAACAGCCTGTTGAATGCTTTATGATATTCAACACATGTAAACAAATGCCATCTTCCTGAAAGGATGCTGTACCCTCCTGAGGTCAGAATGGGGAGAAACTTGTCTTCTCTTCCTCTCACATTCATGTAAAATCTGTCGGCAAACTGAATCAAAACTACCTTCAAGTCAATCAGAATCCAACCATGTATCCCCTGAGTGGCCACCTGAGTCCAAGCCACCACCATCCTCTTTCCTGGACTATTGAAATAGCTTTTAAACTGGTCTGCTTGATTCCACCTGCATCCCCCTAGAGTCTGTTCTCAATACAGCAGCCAGTGACCCCATTAAAAGTGTCAATCAGAGCACCCCGGTCTCTGCTCCCAGCCCTGTGGCTCCCATCTCACCTAGCACGAAGGCTGAAACCCCTTTCTGGGCTCAGCTCTGTCTCTATCCCCCTCACCACTGTTCAGCTTGACCTGCAGTCAGTTCCTCTGATAGGCTGAGCTCAATCCCCCGCTGTAGGGCCTCTCCACTGGCTGCTCCCTCTTTCTGGAATGCTTGTCCCCCAGACACCACATGGCTCCTCCCTCACTCCAAGTGTCTGTTCAGAAAAGCTGTCCCACTGGCACCACAGTATTTGCTGTCCTCAGGCCCTTACCCTGCTTGCTTTGTGTTTGTTTCTCTGTACTTTTCACTGTCGGACACATAATATAAAAATGTCTATTTTTTATAGATATAGTCTATCTCCCTCACTGGAATGTGTGCTCCCGAGGACAGGGATTTGCCCATTCCATTTACTGCTGTGATTCCAGTCCCAACAATACCTAGCAAGTGCTCAATATAGATTTATTGATACAATGAATGATAGGCCAGATGCAAACGGATTTGGCAGCAGGCAGATTTATTTCCAGGTTAAATAACTGTGACCTAGGAGATCAAAGCACAGCATTAAACCCTCCTTAGCAGAGCCCAGCTAGGGCAGTTTTTCTGTGTCTGTCTTTCTCCTTCTCTCATTTTTCTCCCTCTCCCCTCCTTCCCATCTCTAGCACACCTGTCTTCCTTTCCTGCTCATCTTGTCTGGGAAATACCTTTCAGGGCTCCTCACCCTGAGGTGAATTCTGGACAACAGACCTTGGGTAAAAGGCAGCTAAAAACTGGTCAGGGTACAGAAGGATGTCCAGAGCCCCTCTCTGACCCTGCCAGCGTTGACTCAAGACCCAGTGGGCAACCCGGCCAGGGCCTGGGAGTCAGGATACATGTGACCATGACCCTCAGGAGCCAGCCCCGAGGGAGGGACCCGGGTGCACAGACAGGAAGGCACACTCCATGTGCCCAGACACACTCAGCAGCTGGAGAGGGGAACCGTTTAAACACATCAGCCACATCAAAGGGATTGCCTCTGAGAAAGGCAAGCACAAACCATCTCTGATACTCGCCATGAAAAGTCGGCCTTTGAAATTCTGATTTTGAGAATGTCCACAGACACTGGAAGGACAGTGGCGTCAAGCCTGCCAACAGCTACCCACCCCAGTAGCCCCACACCTTGACCCTTTAGAAAGAGCCCCCGTGGGGAGAACCCTAGTCCTTTCGATAAGAATTTCTCTGAGTCCAGAGCTCCACTGCTCAGAAGAATCCTCTGAGCACAGCCAAAAGGCACCATCTTGGTTTGCAAAGAACCCAGGTCTGTGGAGGCCAGAAAGCTGAGGGGGCATACCTGAGTCCCGGCGCCCGTCCCCAGAGGCCACGCAGAAGCCAAAGGTGCCCTCCGGGGAGCGCTGTAGCTGCAGCTGGCTGGTGCCATCTGGGAACACCTGCACCACGCGGCCCACTGTGCGAGCCAGGCTGGGGGCACCCACATCTTCCACGCTGAGGGCGCGCCGGGGCGGGGCCCTGGCTAACCTGCCAGCAGACCAGAGACAGTGAGGGCAAAGAGGTCGGAGCTCTGGGTCCCCACCACACCTTGGCTTAAAGATGACTGCTGCCTCTCGACTGGCAGCTCTGGAAGTTGGGGCACCATGGGTCTTACCTGGCATAAAGAGCCAGCTCGGGCTGACCCCAGTGGGTTCCCACAGTTATCTGAGGCTTTTTAGAGCCTGCTATAGAACTAGAAGCCCCCCGCCCAAGAGCACCGGTTTTTAATCTTTTGGGGTGCAGAGACCTCTTTAAGAACCTAACGAAAGCTATACTTTTATATAAAATTTCCAGCCATTAACAGACTCCCTGAAGTCTCTCCATGGAGCCCCAGGTAAGGGCAGCTAGCCTAGAGGGTCTCATCAGAGAGGGTGGGATTTCCTCAGGTAAGGTCACAGGTCAAGGGCCTCTTTGAAGGTCCCTGTCTCTGGACCTTTAATTGGGTCTTTAGCTAGGCTAAGGAAGCTCTCTGAACATTCCGATTTCAAGATGTCATCAGATAGTAGAGAGACGGAAGAATCAAACCTTCCAACTCTAACCCCACATCTCCTCAGAGCTCAGTTGCACAAGGCAAGGGCACCGAGGTATGGGCTCCAAGACTCTTGTGGCATCTGAGGCTCAGGAGCTGGCCTCCCTTTCTCTCAGTGAGACCCCATTCAGGGCCATACAGCTGAGGCAGGAAAGAGGCTTAGAGCTCCACTGTCCATTCCCTGAGTTTATCCTCCAAACCACTTGCTCACTTGTCCACTCTTACCTGCCAGCTGCACTGTGATCCCCTGGCTCCCCTACCAGGTAGAGGCTGGACCGGTCCACCTTGCTGCTCAGCAGAGAATGAAGGTTCTGAAGGGAGGCAGCTTTCCGATGTTGGTGAGAGGGTGACACCTAGTGGTAAAGGTCCAATATTGCAGGTGAGACAAGCCACTGGGGAAGGGGGCTGACAGAGACCTGACCCCAACGGTGAACCTGAGGGCCCTCTTTGAAAGTAATGATTTGAGTTTTTGTCATTACTTCAAAGTGCTCAACAGGAATCTCTATAATTTACTCAAGTAGGTGGGCCTACATAGGTGATCTGAAACTTCAATATCCTTCCTGAAATAACAGTTTAGTCCTATAATACTAATAACCTCATTTATTAAGAAAATCTATTTTTTAAGAAAAAAGTGAAAGCAAATTAATTATAGAATAGTAACCACAAATTTAGAGTTAAAATCTTAAATATTGTTTTGTGATTCGTTAGTATCCCTTTTATAATCACTTGCATTCAAAAATTTTTATCTAAGTCTACGCCTTAAAACATTGTGAATAAAAAGATGGAAAAGACAAAACATAAATACCTCAAGGAGTTCTCCCAGTGATGGGGGTGGGGTGAGCACAGATAAGTTAAAAGCCCTAGGTGCAGTTGTAAGTGCTTGGCTGGAGGTGTGGGCAATGTTCAAGGAAGCAGAGAGAGACTTTGTTTGGCTTAGGAGGTTTGAGGACACTATAGGAGCTGACACCTGAGTGAAGTTTGAAGCATGAACTCTTCAGGTGAAGACAGAGGTAGGGTGCTCCAGGAAGCAGAAACAATTGATGCAAAGACATGGAGATACTAGAGAAAGCATGGTAGGTTCTGGAACATACTCATGGTCTGGGCAGCTAGGCTGCAGAGATGATGGGAGATGGGCTGGAGCCAGGGGCCAGCCCTGGAAGAATCTCATCTGGCCTGCTAAGGAGCTCCTGAGTGATATCAATCAGAAGAGTTACAAGATCAGATCTGTTTTCTAGAAATTGACCCAATGAGGAGGCCATTCTGAAGGCAGAAGGTGGGAGCGGCAGAGACGGAGGCGGGAGAAGCAGGCTTTTGAATAAATGCTACAGGCGCTTATTATGTTGGGCATCCATACTCTAAGGGAGTAAGGCTTGTTATCGAGAAACTTAAGAGGGGGTCTGACTTGCTTCAGAGCTTAGGAAGACTTCCTGGGAGAAGTCATGTTTAACTTAGACCTGAAGGCCAAGCAGAAGTTCCCTGGGGAAAGGGGAGAGGGGAGAAGAGCCTTCCAGATGCAGGTCAAAGAGCCACAGCCATCGGAGGATGTGGGAGTAGCTAGCGTGGTTGGGTGTGAGAACACAGCCACTGCCCACCCAAGAGGGCAAAATGAAACCCAAACTGCTGCAGCATCCGCCCACCCTCTCAGCACAGACATCTTGGCAGCGCAGCAGCCTAACAGGAAGAAGTTCACCCTGAGCTATGTCATAAATATTTCTGGGTGAGACTGATTCTTCTTTTATCTTTTTTTTTCAATTTTTGAACATTTTTCTGCTGCTCAGTCCTCCCTGCGCTTGCTCCCTCACTTCCTCTGCCAGCTTACTATCTTTGCCCACTTGGCTTACACTGCCCACAATCTCTCTACTACACTAACATCGTGTCACTTCCCTCGAGGTTTACAGAGACCAAAGCTCCGAGGACAACACACCTGGGCGCCCTGGCTCAGACACACAGGGGACAAATCTAACTTTATGAGGAAAGGCAATTTCTAGAGCACAGTGTCACTCTGGGCTCCTTTTCCCAGCTTATGATCACTTTGCCTCCATTCATTCACCCAGCAAATATTTATTGAGCTCTGACCATGTATCAGGTAGCGTTCCCAGTGCCAGAAAAATCAATGGAATTTTCATTCAGCCTGCTTTCTCTCCCCTACTTCAGCCTGAAGATGAAAGGCTCCAATGCCCCAGACCACCATCTCCTGCTTCGTTCTGCTCAGTGCTGAGGGGCAAGGAACAGAAGAACAAACAACACCCGAGAACGCCTGGAACGGAACGGGGGTTCCAGAAACGTGGTTGAGAGTTAGTGAGCTTCTGTTGTTCACTCTCTAGCAAGTGGGGAGGGAGAACTTCAGCACGCTGCCCTGAGTTCACTCACTCACTCATTCACTGTGTACTGAGTTTGTCTGCTCTACTTGCCATTGTACTAAATCTTGGGAATAGAAAGACCAAGTGGTGTTTGCTCAAAGAATTCACACTCCAGTAAGGAGAAACAGACAAAAATAAATTAAAATACTCTGTGACAAGTTCCATGAAGGAAGGAAGCCCAGGACGGGTTGGGAACACAGAGCAGAGGGCCCCAGCTCAGCCCGAGGAAGGGGGTTAGAAGCGGCTTCCTGGAGGAAGCGATGGCTGAAGCGTCAGTGGAGGAGCAGACATGAGCAGGTAGAGAAGGTGGGAGAAACGTTTCAGATGAAGGTCCACAGTTAGACAGTGTGTGGCCTGATTACAGAACTGCCAGGTCAAGGATAGCTGGGATTGACTGTTAGGAGAGTGATGAGAGATGGAAGCAGTCAGATCACAGAAACCCTTTGGCAATGTCAAGTGACCTGAACTTTATCCTGAGGGTGACAAGGGACCAGTGGCCGGTGTTGAGCAAGGGGTTGGCAAGGCCAGATATGTAGATCAAAAGGACTACTCTAAAAGCCACTGGAGAAAGACACAGCATCTAGTCAGAAGGCTGTTGAGATAATCTAGGTGTGAAGTGATTTGTGCTAGACTAAGAGCTGCTGTGGACGTGAAGAAGGTTCTAGAATGACCAAGCAGTAGAATCCAAGTCGTGGCAAGGTGGCAGAGTTGGGAGGCGAGGAGAGGGAGGACTCTAGGATGAGTCCAGGTCGGGATAGCTGGCGGAGGAACAGAAGTTTGGGATGCTGCTACACGCACTGTGTCCGGGGAGCCCCAGCCTCAAGGATCAGCTACTGGGAGGCCAGAGGCTTCCCTTTCTCTACCTTGGCCTCCCCGGGCAGCCTCTTCAGCACTTCATTTCTCCTTGCACCTCTCACCTTTCATTCCAATGGGCTCTGCCACCACTGGCCTCACATATGCTTGGCTGGGCCCTCAGGACTCACCAGATGCAGGGATTGTAATGATGGGGCTCTCTTCACTTCGAAGGTGCTGGCGTGTGAGGCTGGGCCAGGTACAGGGGGCTGCAGCTGCTCCACACTGTAGCTGCGGGACTTGCCAAACTTGGGCCGCGTGCCCTGGCCCAGGGCCAGGAAGAACTTTTTCAGCCCCAGTGTGGAGGCGATGCTGCTGTTGCTTTTCTTGCTCCTGTCAGAAGGGGCAGCTGAGGGTGAGCTGGGTCTTGCACTGGCCCCCAGTAGTGCTCTGAAACGCAAGGGTGGACATGAAATGGGTGGGAGAGGGCTGGGGGATGCGAGGACAGACTGCGCTTTAGGGTCCCGTGGGCCCTGGGTAGGTCAGCACCAATGCCTTGTGAAGGAAGTGACAGCCAGGCCACAGAAAGAAAGGCCGAATGGAGTTCTGTGGGATAGTCTGCCTGGGCAGCTTTTAGGGAGAACAGCTCAGATAAGAGACCCTTGGTGTCATACACAACGATGGGTTCACCCGATCATTCATTCATTAATTTGTTCATTCACTATTTCTTGAGAACCCCTTCTAGGCCTCTTGTAGGTACTAGAACAGTGGTAAAAAAGACAGATAAGGTCCTTACTCTCAGGAGCTTATGAACCGCAGACTAGGAAACAAAGGAGAGAAACTACCAGTGACTGCCGAGTAGGGTGAAGCAGAGCACACAGGGCTGGAGATGGAGACTTCACTCTCAGTGGCTCGTGAAGCCTTGGGCCACAGGTCACCAGGAACAATGCGCAGTGGAGAAGAGACGGCCCGGCCAGAGGACTGGCTCACCAAGACTTTTAGGCCCCAGAGCAAGAACTCAGACCTCAAGCTTAAGAGAGAAGGGAAATGGGATGCGGGCTGTGTCCTCAGCATCTGGTTGTCTCCAAGCCCAGAGCCAAGAGCAAGTCCTCTCACACAGACTGCTCCATCCTGGAACACCTTGAGGGCTGGGACTGGCTGGCCAGCTGTGGCAAGCAAAGTACCTGGAGCTCGAAGCCATTCAATGAATGTTCGGTGAATGAATAATCAAGTACATTAGACTGGAAATGGTTGGGAAAGGAATATTGGGGCGCCATACTTGACAGTAAGTCTGGGAACTCTCCGAGGACTTGGGAACAGTGAGGTCAGTCACGCTACTACTCCAGGAGGGCTCTTTCTTCACCTAGCATCCCCGGTCCCCCACCTCCTACAGTCAGAGCTCTTGCTCCTGTCACTCACCGGGATGACACAGGCCCTTTGGAACTTGACTCTGTCCTCTGCCGGCCTCCCTCTGGTTCCTGGCTAGACTCTGGCTCCTCTGAGGCCAAGGAGAGGGTGACACCCATGGAGCTGATGGTACCAACACCTGCAGAGCTGAGAAAGTCTGGGAGTCCTCCTGCAACAACCATAGCAGACTCTTGTGTCACTGCCCTATCCCCACAGGTCATGGTGGGGGGAGGGGACATTCCCAACACGGAGGCAGGAGAGCCAGAGGAAGCTGGAGAGAGGCCCCAGGAGAGCACTGAAGGCAGTGGTGAGACCCACAAAGCAGGAGCGGAGTCTCGTTTAATGCTGTCACCCCGTTGCCCCCAACACAGCAGCTGATTAATAAATGCCTATGAAATGAAAGTGCTGCTTGTGATAAGTCGTGTCCCTTCTATAAAGAGACATAGTTGGGAACAGGGGAAATGTTTGTATTCCTGGGGCATCTAAGATGTGCTGGGCAATGAGTTTAATACTCCACAGAGATTATTTCATAGGCTCCTGGGAGACAGGTTGTATTATTACCCTCAGGTTACAGCAGAAGAGCCTGGAGTAGAGGGATTAAGTGACATGCCCAGGACCTCCTGGCTAATGAGAGGAGTGTCCCCCAGGCCTCTGCTCCAGGCCCAAGGAGATGAAGGCTGGGCTGCAGAAAGGTCAGCAACTCTCAGAACAGAAGCCCCACAGGAAGTGGCTCGGGGCAGCCAGCAGCCAGTCTAGAGCCCACTGAAGGAAGGAAACCACACCTTAGCATGGGCAGAGGTGTCTCAGGGTGGGGCTGCTTCTTTGAGTTTCACATGAGCGAGGGAGGGAGAGGGAAAGTGTCTGTGTCTGTGTGCAGTGGGGAGGGCAGGCAGAACTCTGCGGCAGGAGGCGGCTTGGCAGCCACATCCCTGGTAGGGTCAGGACGGCCTGCCCTCTCTCTGCCCTCTCTTCCTCCACTGTTTCCAAGCCCTGGATCCCTCCTGAGCCACCCCAGCCTGGGGGCTGCCAGGGCTATGGGAGTGATAAGGTGAAGGCGTGTGGGGCAGGCCTGTTACCTCTGCCTAAGAGTGAGTGGCTGAGTAGTCATACCACGAAGGACTTGCCAACAATATGAGGACCCCTTCCAAGGGCAGAGGTGACATCCTACATCCTTTGCCTGCTGAAACCTACCAGGCTGCCCAGCAAGGCCAGGGGGGTCTGGAAGGGCTCAGGCGCCAGAGAGCAACCTAAGCACTACTTGTAGGAGCTCTGCCTGCTGGTTGCCATGTCCTCCGGACAGCATGTCTGTGCCCGGCCACAGAAGGTCTCAAGGGCAGGATT